CCTGGAAGCCAAGATGACCAAACTGAGGCTGTTGTACTTTGGACATGAGAAGGGAGGGCTCTTTAGAGAAAATAATGATGCTGGGAAAGGTGGAAGGAAGTAGAAAGAGAGGAAGGCCACCTGCTAGATGGATGGACTCTATTAAGGTCACAGGTATTAAGAGGTTGTAGGGATTAAGCAGAGCAGTGGAGGACAGAGGGTCTTGGAGATGTCTCATCCATCAGGTCACCATGAGTCGAGATTGACTTGAGAGCAAATAACAACCACAACAACAAATAGAATAAAAGCGGTTAAGTAGCTCAAGTGGTTAAGATACTGACTCTGGGCTGATGCAGACCAGCCAAAAGTCTGGCCTGGGGGTGGAGTTGGGGCGGGGCAACCATACGCCGTCCATCCCAGCGCTGCTGTCACGCCACGTAACTGACTGCACAGCATGCTGCGCCAAAGGAGCTCAAAAGAGCCGCAGCGGCGGCTCTAAGGGCAGCTTTTTGCCACCCCAAAAAGGAGTGGTCCTCTGTTGGTTGCAGGATCAGCAGGTTGGTAGTTTGAGGCCCAGGTGCTGCATGATAGGGTGAGTTCCCATCACTAGTCCCAGCTTCTGCCAACTGCAAGTAGATAAATAGGTACCACTTCGGTGGGAAGGTAAACAGCTGGCCCAATGATCACAGAGTATTCTCTGACAATGCTGGCTCTTAGACTTAGTAATGGAGATGAGCATTGCCCCCTACTTGACAACCTTGTCAACAGGGAATGCCTTTACTTTTTACCTTTATAGAATGGTAGTGAACGTTATAATGAACACCACAAGGGCCATCCAGTCCAACCCCATTTCTGCCATGCAGGAACTCACAGTCGGTCTGTGTATTAGGTTTTTGTGGGGTTTTCGGGCTATTGGCCTTGTTTTAGAAGAATAAATGTATTCCTGACATTTCGCCTGCATCTGTGGCTGCCATCTTCAGAGGTGAAGAGGCTGAAGAGCCTGAGCATGCCAGCCACAGATGCAAGCGAAACATCAGGAATACATTCATATTCTAGAACACGGCCTCACAGCCTGAAAAACCCACAAAAACCTATGGATGCTGGCCATGAAAGCCTTTTGCTTCACAATTTTTGTATTTCTGCATGGAACTCATAATATTGAGTGATATATCAATTTCATAATATGAGATATAGAATGGTAGAGAAGTTATTTCATGACATGTAAAACTGAACAGTTTGAGGATGCATTATGCAGTAGTAGCAAAGGCATACAGTCATCCCTCATTTGCGGATTTGATTATTCACAGATTGTACTAGTATGTTCTCTAGGAATATCTAGGTCAGGGGTAGGCAACCTTTCCCCTTTAAGGGCCGAAGGACTTCAGCTCCCAGAAGCCTCAGCCATGTTGGCCAGTAGTCCCATGTTGGCCAATAGCTCCTGGGATTCTGGGAGCTGAAGTTCCTCGGCCCTTAAAGGGGAAAGGTTGCCTACCCCTGATCTAGGTCCTCCAGTACAACTCTGTGCTCAACTTTAACCAAAAGTCATACTGAAGGGCCTAGCAGGGGCATGCAAACTCGGCCATCGTAAGGATTTTGGACTTCAGCTCCCAGAAGCCTCAGCCGTGTTGACCAATAGTCTGGGATTCTGGGAGCTGAAGTCCCTTGGCCCTTAAAGGGGACAGTTTGCCTGCCCCTGCCCCTAGAGATTCCTAGAGAGAACACTCCAATGCAATTCTGTGGTCAGTGTCTGGCAGAGTTGCACTGGAGAACCTAGAGATTCCTCAGGTGAAAAGATAGTTTTTGTTATTTGCAGTTTTCCCACATTCACGGGGGTTTTGTGCTTAACCCCAGCGAATGTGGTGGGATGAGTGTACTAACAAAGACATAGAACACAAACACAACTCAGGAAATTCTTTTGTAAATGTTTACCTTTCCTTTATTGCACACATCCCCAACACCAACATGGGTACACATTCTTCTATGTCACACATGCACACTTTTATATACACACATATACACTCATTCCTCCACATTTGCTGGGGTAGGGGCACATTACCTCTGTGAATGTGTAAAAACCACAAATAACAAAAACACTGTTTTTACCTGAGAGAACACCTCTAGGAATCTCCAGGTCCTTCAGTTCAACTCTGTGGTTAACATCTGCCAGACACTGACCATAGAAATGTGCTGGAGGAGCTACAAATGCCTAGTAGACTGTTATCTCTAGGAATCTCTAGGTCCTTCAGTGCCAATTTTGGTTAATGTTGACCATAGAGTTGCACTGGAGGACCTAGATATCACTAGAGAGAACATATCAATCTATGAATAATAAAATCTGCAAAAGTCAAAGCTGCAAATACAGAGGGACGAATGTAGTAGCAAAAACAGAACACAAACACAACTCAAGAAATTTTTCTTTAAATGTTTTCCTTTCCTTTATTGCACACATCCCCAACACCAACTCAGGTAAGCATTCTTATCTCTCTCACACACATTAATACATAAACATATATTTATGTCTTTGTGTGAGAGAATGAGACTGCCCCCCCCGGGGGATGGTTTGCCCCTTCATGACATGGGAAGTAATTAATGCTTGTGGAGGATGAAGCTTTCTTCCATAACCTGTATAGATTTGGCCCTACAAAGTCAAAACTTGTCAAAATCAGTTGCCGGGAGGACATTTGAAAGTGGCTTGTTAGAAAAGTGAATGTTCACTCTGCTACTGGGCCCTTTAATTGGGGTTGGGTGAACCTCCAGGGCTAATTGCAAAACTGACTCATCTTTTTAAAAGCTGGGTGGAATGTGTTTTAAAAAGTGGCAGTGGTTGAGTGTGTTAAAATGGACTTGAGAGAGTATGATGTTTTTGCCCTTGTACAGTGGGCCCTTGGTATCCGCTGGGGTTTGGTTCCAAGATACACCCCCCTCGGTAGATGAAAAAAATCTGTGGATGTTTAAGTACCATTAAATATAATGTCATAGTGTATAAAATGGCAAAAAAGGTTTATTTTTTTGGAATGTATATCTTGGGAATGTTTTCAAACCACGGATGGTTGAATCCATGGATAAAGAATCTGTGGATGTGAAAGGCAGGCTGTAGATAATTTGGTGCCATCCAAATGTTAGAACTACAAACCCCATCTACCTTAGCTAGGAAGGTTAGGTAATGCAGTCCAAAATATTTGTAAAGCACTCCAGGAAAGCTTTGTGTGAAGTCTTCCGAGGGCGGAGAACAGAGCCTTAACAGTTTCCTCTTATCTCCAGGTTGAATTTTTATAACAAGCCAAGGAAGATTCCCATGGAGTTCTTGCCACTAAATTTCATAGAACCATAGATTTGTTTTTCATTTTAGTACAGCATTTGTAGAGAGAATTGCAGTGTGTGTTACTTAGAAAAAAACATATTTCAGGGCTTAATTTGCACTTTAGCCCCAAAATTGTTCCCATGCCAGGGATCAGTGTTGAATTAGTAAAGAAAAGTGAGCATATTCTCTTATTAATGAGCAGCAGTAGGCAGATTCACACAGGTGAAATAAGGTGATTCCCCCCCCCC